CACTTGCATTTTTTCTTAAAGGGGTCATATGATGCTGCTAAAAAGAACATTATTTTGTGTATTTGCTGTAATGAAATGTGTTTATGTGGTTTAAAGTTCAAAAAACACATTATTTTCCACATACTGTACATTATTGTTTCTCCTCTATGCCCCGCCTTTTTGAAACGCGTCGATTTTTACAAAACTAATCGGTCTGAAAAGGAAAGGAAAAATTGAAATCGCATCATATGACCCCTTTAAGAGTGGAAACTTAACATATACACCGTCATTTTTGCTCATAAAGGTAAGCGTAATACATCATTCGGAATTGTAAAGGGTCTACTTTTATTTGTGTGCACTCACAAACAATATCAACAAAAACCTGTGCTTTTGTAAAATAATTAAGGAAAACAAACAGGATGCGCTTTCTATCGTCTTGGTCTTGAGCAGGAGAGCTTCACAATGATGAACCGAAACTCAGCGAATACTTGCCTCCTCACAGACATGATAAATATATCTAATAGAATGTTTTAAATACTTTGAAATGAAATAATTCAAATAGAAAACAAAAACACTTTAATTATGTAGGCTAATCCGTAAAGATGTATTTCTCTCTAAAGGCTCGCATCCTGAGGAGATGGCGAGTCAGGATCGTCAACTTCATCTTGTGACACTGACTCAGATAATACTAGTTCATTAATAAATAATTCAAATATCTCCTTAGTATTTTATTTATTTATTTATTGTTTATTTGTTTGTTTTTGTTTTTTGGGCTGCTGTGCCAAGATTGTGTTTGCATGCAGTACAAATAGCCTAAGCGCGGCATTTTAGTACCATGTTGAAAAATAAGATTAACGTCATAATCTTTTAAGAATAAAGTTAAAATTACGATAATAAAATCAGGTTATAGGCCTATTGCGTGAAGTTAATGTGAGAATTCCACCTATACTCCACCAAAAAATACAAAAATAAAATTAATAAATAAATAAAATAAAATAAAAAGTCTGTGGCATCCAACCTGTCGTTCTTCATATTTAACATAAAAAACAGCAATAAAAGGTAGGCTTATTGATAGGGTTGGGTACCGAAACCTGGTACCAATATGGCACCGGTACCTATGTAACCGGTATGTACTAGAACCAAATCCGAACGCAGATTTCGGTGCCTCATTTCGGTGCCATGCCTGAGCGATTGATTGAAATATTTGTCCTCTGGTTCTCCGAAACAGACGTAAGAAGCATCATCACTGGCACCGCACGTGAAAAATAATTTCCCGACTGAGAAAATGCATGTGAACTCAAGTCGGAAAGCTCTAATAATACAAATCCAACACATCTTTGTAGTAACGAGAGTGTCCATGTTGTTTTCACATTCCGACTTAAAAGCACAACTCAGGAAATGAGAGCATTCGAAGAGCGCGTGAATGCAGTAATTACACTTGCTCTGATGGAAGCAGGTAGTCTTCCGTTAACTAAGCTAAACATGCTTAAATTAAAATGCTTAAAGCTAAACCTCCCTTGTATTCACATTTCTAAACCTGTTGTCCAACAAAAGAGAAAATTATAACCTTTTTACTGCACAACACCAGTCAAATGCTTCCTTTCGTGATCTGATGAGGCTTCTTGTCACAGAATGAGGCAGAAAATATGTTCTATATGCTACTTTAAAAAGAATACATCGATTAGCAATGGATTATAAATATACTTAATTATGAAAATACCAGAGATGGCTTGAATAACACAGATGAACTATATTGTCGCAGTCGATGGTTTATTGTCTCAGTTACAGCTATAATAGCAATGCCTTTGTCCATATCAAAAGAGAAAATTATAACCTTTTTCTTCCTTTTGTGATCTGATGAGGCTTCTTGTCACAGAATGAGGCAGAAAATAGGTTCCATATGCTATTTTAAAAAGAATACATCGATTAGCAATAGATTATAAATTAGGGTGACCATACGTCCTCTTTTCCCCGGACATGTCCTCTTTTTGGACCTACAAAAATGCGTCCGGCCGGGATTTCTTATTTGCCCAAAATGTCCGGTATTCGACCGCAGTAAAGATAGTTTGCGGTCAGGATTCGGCTGTTTTCTTAATCCCACTCCCGCTGAATCTCTGACCATTGCCGCCTGCTCCCGTAAGCGTAAAAACACATTTATTGTTTGTAGTATTGTATTATAAAGTTGACAGAAGGCTGACACTTTGTGTTTTAATATAAGTAACAAAGCACAAAGCTCATTGCGATTATTGGGTGGCTTGCGTGCTACAAATGATGAATGGACTTGAAAACGTTAAATATTATTTCCAAGCATTTATACCGTAAATAAAACAGCTTGTGAATACACGTAACGTTAATCACTTCAGAAAAATCAACAATAAGTTAACCAAGTTGGAGCCAATAACGTTTGGGGGGGCTCATACAAATTTTTTTGCATATGGGCCCGGGGCTGACTTGCTACGCCACTGATTCTTCATATATATACACGTCACTCCAGCCGGGCAGCCTGGTCTCATGTTTATACGTAGGTATTAATACGTAACATTTACAAGCACAAAACGTACACTTTTGTACGTTTTTATTACTGCCATTCAAAAGTTTGGGATCAGTAAGACTTGTAATGTTTTTTAAACAAGTCTCTTATGCTCATCAAGGCTGCATTTATTTGATCAAAAATACAGAAAAAAAAACGTAATCTTGCAAAATTTTATTACAATATAAAATTATGGTTTCTATTTTAATATCCTTTAAAATATAAATTAATTTCTCTGATGCAAAGCTGAATTTCCAACAGCCATTACTCCAGTATAAAGTGTCACATGATAATACAACAGTATATTAGAATGATTTCTGAAGGACCATGTGACACTGAAGACATTAAACACATTATTTTACATCATAATAATAAAACACACAAAAAAACATTATTTTACATCATAATAATATTTCACAATATTACATTTTTTCCTGTATTTTTGATCAAATAAATGCAGCCTTAATGAGCATAAGAAACTCCTTTAAAAAAACATAAAAAATCATTCTGATCCCAAACTTTTGACCGGTAGTATATCAAACCACAATTTATTCAGACACCTTCAACATTTCACACATTATCACAGTTTATTCGCTATAGTTTAGAAAATGGTAATACAATATGACAGGAACTCAGAGTTAAAATGTGTCAGAACAAATTCATCTTGATAATGTCAGATAACAATTCAGCAAAACATGGTCAGGTCAAAGTGTCTGAATAATTTATGGTCCCAAATTTTTATACTGTATGAAAATCTTTGGGCATAATATGTCACAGTTTAATTTATTTTGCTATCCTCACTTACATAAATGAACTATACCCACTATATCCTACACCCTAGTAAAAAATATAAATTATATCTGGTGTCTGAATAATTTTTGGTTTGACTGTATATTATGGTATCACCAATGGCACTAAGTGGCCCATTCTTGGCCATATAAACCTGGAAAGTAGACAGACTTTATGCTGATAGTCAAAAGTCTTACTAGGCAAGACTTCCTCTCTATCAGTGAGAAGAGTCTAACACTTCAGGAAAGGCCTAATGAAGGTAATTTGGGGGAAGAGGGTCATTTTGACCCGATCATGGCTGTCATGTGGCCTTGAGTAGAGGTCCAATTTATTGTAATGACCTATTGCAGAGTTTTAAGAAGCAGAAGCAGCCTCTTGAATGTCAAAAAAAAAAAAGTTGAAGCTAGATTTCACACTTTACCTCTGCCCTCAGCTGGGTAATAGTTCTGGACTTGTGTTTTCTTGACGTTTTCAGTTATGCTTATAACCTTATATAATCTTCTTTGAAACATAAATGTAGCAGTGGATTTGTGCAATAATTTCATGGTGGACTAGAAAGGGTCTTTTTATTTTACTGTCTTTTGTTTACATCAACCTTTTTGTGACATTTCAAAAAGTAGATGCTGATTTTCAAACAGCAGACTTTCTTGAACACTTTTTCTTCCACATTATATGTTCCCTTGTGGCATTATCAGACGCAAATTCAGCAATTCATCGAGAACTCAAGTGCTCTGAATTGAGCTCTGAAATTGCCACTGAGCTCTTTGAATAAGGACTTCATCCATCTGCTTTAGAATCACAGATGTTTTATTATTGCTGATTACGATGCAGAAACACTTATAAGAGAAAGCATTGTATTTCTCCTCTAGTGTGCTATATCGCCACACATATTACTTCTGTTTTAGTTGTTCACTTATGTTATTTCTTATTTCTTATTTGGAAAGCAGTGAAGCACGGCAATTGCACGACCGTATTATGTAAATACTGTGTTCAAGTAAAACATCTCATGTTGAATTCTTGTGCACTGTTATACGTATCCAAACAAGAAAAACATCTGTTGGTTTCCAGATATGTTATGATTGTTGTAGCTTGATGAGCTGATTAAAATCCTCAGCCTACATTTGAATAGTTGACCCATTTTCTTTAAAGTTGCATCAGTAAGCTTTAAGTACGGTTCTCTTACGAGGGAACATCGAACTGCGTCCTCTAGTGGTAGCTATGGGGAACGCCTTCAGCGTGACCAGTGTCTGAAGCATACATCTAAACACGACAATAACATTGGCCGGTGACAGCCTATGACATCATTACCGGCGCGACCACAGTATAAAAGGGCGCCGGGAGAACACGTCATCCTCTTCTTCGTCAAGGGACTGTTTTGTTTGAAGCGTGCATTCCGGTGAGAGCGATTATTCTTCTTTACCATGGTGAGCACTAGTAAGGCGTTTAAGAAGTGTGTGGATCCGTGTCCTTGTTATTTGACACCTGATGACACACACGATCTTTGCGTCTTTTGTTTGGGTGAAGAGCATGCGCGCGATGTCCTCGAGGGGGCAATCTGCATACATTGCGAGTGTTTTCCGATGAAAAAGCTCAGCTTGCGTTTGTCTCTTTTTTTGAGGAAAAGCCATCAGCTCCCCGCGGTTCAGGACTCGCCTCTGCTGAGGCACGGAGGAAAATGAGCTTGTGGGGATCGCAGGTGGACCTGGCTGATGAGTTGAAAAAGGGTCTCTCCCTTTCGCGCTCATCGGTCACGGACGAGAGTGAGCTGCTGGATGACGATGTTATTTCTCTTACATCGTCTGATCCGGCGGCTAGTGCTCTGCTGGCTCCAAGCCAGGAAGAACAGGAGATGCTAGATGAGGATGAAGAAATTTAAACTGAG